AGAAGGAATCTACAATTAATCTGAACATTTCTTTTTACTACAGGGCACAAAATGAGAATCTCAAATTGATCTGATCAGAAAAATTTCACTTTTTCATTCAAAATGTTTTTTTATGCTGTCACTGATTTTCCTATTTGTAGAAATAAATGGTATAATCCCGAGAAACAGAGGTAATGACTCTCATGCTATCGATTCTAGCAATTACGTTATGATTGCTTCAAGAATCTCCTCACAAATATTTACAGAAGGAATCTATCACTGAAGAGTTTCAAAACGAGCATGGGAAAGGCGAAGTAGTTTTAGGTTGAGAAATGTAAAACTGAAGCTTACTTCTTCAACACACTACGTCTTAATTTACAAAAGATATATTATAGACTGAAAATAGGAATAATTTGGAATTCTTCCTCTGGAAAGAAACAGATTTAAGGTCCATAATTACTAATAACATAAAAGAAAACCATCTAGTGACCCTATCTATATTCATTTTTAATATCATTAAAAATGTCTACATTTCAAAACTGAGTAAATAAATAATAGTAAATAAAGAACACAATTACAGTCTCAGAACTGAAATCATGCTTTTGAGGAAATATGAGAAAAACGTTGGCAATGTATTAAATCAAAAAGTGAATCGTCCAGTTCTGCTCGAGATTACTAACTTATTTGTATCTTAGTTGCATTAAAATCACAAACAAAATATAAAGAAAACCTACACATATGAAGATAAGATGATCAGTAAGGCATCAATGAACAAAGAATTTCAACACATATTTCTAGGGAAAAAAAAACGGAGTATAAATGTGCTGCAGAAAGAAATGGTGCCCAGGAAGCATGAGGCAACTGAAGGAGGGATGACAGCAGAGACAAAGTCAATCCTCCTTCAAGGAACATGAGGCTACGGAGTTTGGGTTCTTAACTCTGCAGGCCCAGCAGAGAGGGCATGGGTTGAAAATGAAAATTTGCAAATTCTTTCATAAATGATGGTGCCAGTCATCTACATTTCTCTGTCTTTCACGTGTTTATTCTTAGCAAAGAACACTGCTAACTCAATTAGGGAGACTACTCCTACCAGTGCTGTCTGATTACTCCCTATAGCTGATCAAGTTTTTTGAGACAACTTCTACCACCAACATCTGATCCTGTATCTTTGATTTATCAGTACTTGGCCTGCCTTTAACAAGAATCTTCCTAGGTCGTGTTAGCTAAAATCTCCTTCAGGTGACACCTCCTTTTAGCGATTTTCTGCCCACTGACTCCTTCATCCTGCACCCATTTGCCATATGTGACCTCTCTTCCCAAATACAATGTCTTATTACAACAGCATTAAAGAAAGACTTCTTTAATGATTTGACAAATATCAGACAAAAATCATCATCATCATCATATCTAAATTTTCTTTGGTCCGCTTTGGCCTTTATATAAAGTGATGTATGTATTGCGTTCATTGTGTGTATCTATAGTTACTTTCTGCCTCATAGGATATCCTACTCTATCAATATATCACAATGTAAGTATTCTCATGTTGTCAGCTAGATTTACGCCTTTTCTGCTACAAGGAATATTTCTCATATGGCTGCTTCCTGGTGCAGTGTGTACACACTTCAGTTGGTATGTATCTAAAAATGGAAATTCTGGAGCATACACAGAAAATATCACCAAATGACTTGAAAGGGATTATGTCAATTATGTCAATTTATACTCTTACAAGTATATGTGAATTTCTGTTACTCCGTATTATTGTCATCACTGGATACCATCCGTTTTTTCACTTTAGGCATGCTGGTGTGCAGTAGGCTCTCACTATGATTCTTACAAAACCGAAATTCCCCTACATATATCTTATGTTAGGTAGGAAGTTAGACATCAGTCTGCATGTGCCAAAGGATCAAAATTAGCCCACATGTGAAGGGGAGTAAGGAAAACAGAACCCCCTAGGGAAGGAGTGTAGCTGATTCCAACAGCCCAGGAAGAGCAGCCTGACAGCAGCCCAGGCTTTTACGGCATAAAGTCCTACCTATGCCCCAGCAAGTAAATGGCTGTGCTCCTCCCATCAAGGAAGGCACCCCAGGAGAGTCCTCTCTGCCTGATGGCAAGCTGACTACTCTGATAACACTGGGTACCGAAACCTTGGGAAGGATCTTAGGTATTTCTCACCCAGCCACATCTCTGTACAGAAGAGAAAGGGAGAAACAGTGGGAGGGACTGAATCCCAGCCCCTTCATAAGCCTGTCCCTCTTCTCATGCAACTTTGTAACCACATTATCCCTTATCCCCGCTCCCAGGGAGCAGTCTGGTGGCAGTAAACCTTCCTGCTATCTTGTTGGACACTCCTCTATATTACATCTCCATTGTTTCCTGTGGGAAGACAAGCATCTCTAGTCCACAGTCTCCGGTAACATTTATAGTAAACACATTTTTTAAAGTAGCAAATTGTATTGAAAACTTCAGATTGTATTTGAGGCTACAGAAAATTCAATGATGGTTTTAAAAAAAAAAAAATCTACAGTAGTCCCAAATCTGGTCTGGGAGAGAACTTTTTACATGCTGAAATTTACAACTCTTAGAAAAAAAGGAGCATGCCTTAAAGAACAAGAAAAAAAGTGCCTGTTTAGTCTTTCAATAAATCTCAAGTGCAATTAAGACTTGCTTAGGAATCCAAGCTACTTAGCAAAACAGTTGGCTAACAGTAATGAGCTCAAAATTCTCTTGTTATTTAGCTTAATGATGATTATCTAAGCATTCTCTTTTCCTGTAACATGGCATTATAAAGATTGTATCTTCTAATCGCAGTATCAGAGATCTTTAGTAGTAAGATTGTACTAAAACACTGACTCATGATTAAGACTAAAGCGTATATCAAGTTTTCTCTTTCTCCATTTTATTTCCAAAAGCTAATTAAAGCAGATGCACCTGAATGGAAAGGGACCATTTCTAGTAATCTAGATAATGTTTGTCATAACTACCACATCCACAAGACAAAAAAAATTATAATAAATGTAAGAATTCCATCAAATACACTTCTGCTAATAAAACTCACTAAAAACAAAACAAACACAGCTACAACCTCAGCCCTGGCCCTGTGGGCAATAGGGGAGTGAACTTGAGGTATGTATTTTAAATAACACCGGATACATCTTAAAAATTCCAAGATAAAACCATTTTTATCCTTATTTACTTGGAAGGTAAAAATGAATTTCAATTGTTGAAATCTCAATTCAACAATACTGAATTGTGGATGGATGTTGTTGAAAAACAGAAAAATTTCTACATCTTCAAATTAAAAACAAAATGATCGCTTTATTTCTGGTAACTTTGGATGATTCAATCAACCTAGCAATAACGGGCAGAAGAGATTTGCGCCTCGCTTGCACATCGAACATCGTGGAAGGACTCCAAAAAAACCGGAATGATTTTTGGTCAAAATATTGAAAACGCTGCTCCTTTAGCCCCGACTCCCCACCTCCAGCCCAACAAAGGAAAGCAACGAAATTTCCTTTCTAAACGTTTGATTACATTAATGTAAAGAGTATATTTTAAAAAATGACGCATCTGAGTCGTGGCCTTTGCTCCTGACAGCTATGAATTTCCACTCAAATCTAGAGAGAGGCTCCAACAACGTTAGTCTTTTCCAGGGAAGCCTCCCGTGGGAGGTGATAACGGGCAGAGGAGGAGTTAGCTGGCGGAGGAACTGGCAGGCAGCACAGATGTGACTTTAAGCTATTTAAGGCCCCAGTTAACACTGCCGATCGGTATTCCAGGGGACCTGGCTGACTCTCCTACGGTTACGGCTCCTTTCAGGAGTCCTTGGTTTAATGAGAAAAAGAGCCTTGGAGCTTTGGGGGGGTTAGGGAGGAAAGGGGAGTGGTCCCCACCCCTAAACACTGTGCCCCAAATCCACTCCTCCGTGACCACAGTTGACGCCCACCCTTCCTCCAGTGGGAATTCCAGAACTAGCAGGGTCCGACCCCAAAGCTCTGCCGCTTCCTCCGCCACGCCTTCCACAAACCCAACCAGACGTTGTGGAACCTGCGCTTCGACTCTTTAACTACCTGCCCTCTTAGCCCGTCACCGAGTCGACGCATCCAACACACCCAGAAAAAGAAAAAAAAAAAAAAAACATACTAGTCAGCGCAAGAGGCAGGCAGGGGGTTAAACGGCTTTTCCCTCAGGACACGTCAGCTAACAGAGGGTTTTCCCACCGCCACGCGAGCCCCAGCAGCACGCGAGGCTCCGACACCCAGCCGGCAAGCTCCCACAGCGAGCCGGCATCCCCGAGCGCCGTCCGAGCACAAGGACGCGCTAGAGGGCGCCCCCAGGCCGGCCGCTGAGGAGGCGGAGAGCGCTTACCCAATGCCCGTCGCCTCCGCTTCCGCCTTCTCGCGTCTCCACAGCCCGCCCGCCGCGGAGGCTCACGGGACTCGTAGTCCTCGGGCCGCACGCTCCGCCGCGCACGCCCCGCCGTCGCCCGGCTCCCTGGGCTCCGACTTCCGGCTTCCTCGGACGGCCCTGGCGTCGATCCTGTAGCCGCGCCGGCTCTTCCCCGGTTCCGGACTCCCTGTCCACATTAGCGCTTCCCTCCTCTCGGTGACGGGCCGAGGCCGGTCAGCGCCGGTGGGCTCGGTCCCTCGGCTCGCGTATCTGCTGGGTAACGGGCCTTGTCCGGCGGCGTCTCGGCCGCTCCTTGCCTCGGCTTGTCCAGTTCTTCCTCCAGTTCCGGGGCCCTGTCCCGAGGGCCCGGGGCGGCCAGAGACATGGACGTCCGTCTGCGGTGCACCGACAGCGGCTGCCTTCGCTGGGGAAGCGACACCGTCTTCGAGGAAACCGGAAGCCCCTGGTGACCCCCCGGCGACCCGGTTTGTTTTGTCTGTCGGTTCCCAGAACCTAGGGAAACGAAACTCGGCGGCCCTTGGGGTGAGTGCCTCGCTGGGGCCAGCCCGGGGGCTGGGGGTGCGGGCCAGGCCAAGGGGACCCCCGTCCGGAGAGGCGACGCCCGGGGTCCCCCCACCCCCGAGGACGCCCGAGCATCCCTTGTCCCTTGTAACCCCCTTTGCCCGGCCCCTCCTGGCCCTCCTCCTCCTCCTGCTCACCTCTGGGCCTGTTTTCTCTCTGTACTCTTACTCCTGTGTTTGGGTTCCTCGAGGTGTTTATTGTTACTGTGTGGGTCACTGGGGTGCCGTTTTAAAAGGCAAGAGAAGAAGGAACTGTATCCAGGACGGGGACATCGGGGGGCGGCTGGGGGGTCGGTGATCCCGAGACCCTCCTAGACTATAGACATGCCCATCCCCTTTTCCCATGCCCCTGGAGCCGGATTTTCGGTTACTTTTATGGAGTGAGTACTTTGGAGATAGGCTGAGACCCTCGGCCCTACACACAAGCAAGTCCGCTGTCCTTGGGTGTGCAAGCTGCCTGGTGCTGAAGTTCACACAGACGTGTGCTTGACCCTGGCCTCCTGCAGTGTAGACGTCTCCACTGGGCACGGTCTGAAGGCGCCATTGGAATTTCAGCTCCATAAAATTCCAGCCGTGTGGATTGGCCAGCCAATCTGGAAGTAGGAATGGGTGGCACGTGGCACGATGGTTTACGAAATAGGTTAGTTCAGCGTTTCTTGTACATGGCGAGCCGTTTGCCAGGACAGGGTTTTAATATTAAAGACACAACCGTGGAGAAACAGGAAATGGCAGTGGACGAGATCAGCACGCCAGGATCCGAGTGCTGAATTTTCTGCTTACTCATGTGACATGAGCAAGAAGTTGAACCTCTTCCTCATTTTTCCTGTCAGTCAAGTGGGGATAATGCTTGTTGGCGGGCACCAAGGTGTGGTTTGCAAGAGTTATGCTAAACACTGGCTGCCCGCTCTCTCAGCCCCCTCGCCTGGGTGTTCAGTTGCATTAAATCATTACTTTCAGGAAGAAAACCACTAGACTGCGTCATGCCTGTGCTGGCAGCCCTAAGATTCCCTGACAGTGAAAAGAATTTCTGAACTAAAGGGATCAGTGGAGGTCATGAAAATGAGAAAGTGACATTTTTCCGTACTGCGTGTCTGGTGCTGGGTACGTTTTTGGACAGTCAGTGAGCTGTGGGGCATTTGATTGCTAACACACGGATCAGTGTCTCGAAAGAGGCACTTGACCCTGTCTTTATGAACTGGTCGGTCCATCTCCCCCCCCCCCCCCCCCCCCATTGCTTCATCAAGAGTAGGGAAAGAGGAATGTTAGTCTAATTATCTACATGTTTCAGCTCAACTTCCGCAGTCACAAATGTCCCGGCCTTGTGGGAATAGAGAAGTGATGCAAGCCCTGAGGAAGCTCCACTCAGGAATCCACATCGCGCAGCCCGCAAGCCTACTGTGTGCACTTGCGTTCAGCCTCGAGCCTGGCACATACTGCCAGTGACTAGCGATATATTTGTTGACCTCTTTGAGTATTAATTGATAATTGTAATGGTGATAATATCTTTGTAGTGAAATTAATGTGTGTGCTGTAGCTTTTCTTCAGTTCCTAGCACAAGCATAAATTCACTTTTATTTGTTTAGATTTCAATTCTGTGTTTGGATTGAAATTTTTGCTTTCACGTGTTAAGAAAGTGGCATCCTAGTGATGCAGTCCAACCCAGGTGGGCAAATTTAGATTGAGAGAAGTGTACTAATCATCAAGGCGGCAAATTCTGTATCGGTTTCTTGCTTTCTGAATCCGAGGCCATGTTCTTCCTGCTATAGATATTGGCTGTGGCTGCATTCTTGTTAGGAAACACAACATCCACTTCAGGTGGCCTCCTGCAATGTTGTGTTAACAACACACAAAAAGGGTTATCTGTGCTCACCTCCCTGCTTTAGCACTGGCATGTTGCATAGCTGTGGGCAAGGTATTTAACTTTTCTAAAACTTTGTAAGTTCTAGTTCCAAAGGAAAAGGCATTGCGCGTGACAGGTTTGTGGAATGTGACAATAAACACGCTCTTCCTAGAAAAAGATGAATTAGTTTTCTAATGTCTCAAACCCTGGTTGTTTGCAGTGAATGAAGGGTTTGAGGGGGCTTTCGGATAGATTGTAGTGCATTGCCATTTAAAATGTAAATTAATTCTGGTTAATAATGTTCACATCTGCTTCCTTCCCCCCACCCTCAAATTTTACTGTTCTCTTTTCCATTCACCTTATCTGAAAACTTTCTGCATTATCGTTCTCGGGAACTAAACAACAGTACTTGTGACTATTTTTCACTTGAGTCCTTTCTAATTCTCTCTTTCTTTTTATGCATAGGTAAACTTCTAGAAATAAAGTTTGCCAGACATATAAAATGTTTTCATGACTGTGTAGCTATGTTACAGATGTACCGTATGTGATCCTCTAATGCTATTGAAATGGAATAATGAGATTACATTCTGTGCTAAAAATGTCCTCCTGTAAAATGTAGGTGATAACGTACTCATAGAATTACCCATGCCTGCAGCATCTCTAGGAATACTGATGATAGTCAGAATTTTGTAGTGGATCACGCAGTAGCTGTTTAGCATTGTTCCCTCTGGAGGACTAGTTCTCAAGTTGGAATGGCACTTCAAACCACCTCAGTTGCCTATTGGAACTTGCATCTCAGAGACTTTGATTTCCTTAGATCTGCCATAAAGCCTAACAGCTTGTATTTCTTTTTCATCAAAAAGAGAAAATTCATCCGTCTTCTATTTAGCTGCCCAGATGTCCAAAATAGCAGAGAGTGGGCCAGGCCAGAGATAGGAGGACAAAATTCAGTATGGTCTCCCAAATGCATAATAGGGGCCCAGTTGCTTGAGGAATCATCTGTTGGCTTCCAGCCTGTGCGTTAACAGCAAAGGAAACGAAAGTGAAAGATCCAGTAATTAGACTTCGGACTGCAGTCTAGGATGCGGGCATCTCAGGTGGAGTCTTACCTGCTGTGCAGTCCATCTTGGACTCAGAATTTCTGAACAGAACTGTAAACAGTTCTAGAGTATTTGGCTCACACCTTATCAGACACTGCTGAAGGCATCTTCAGCTTCTTGGAATATCCTGGAAAAGGCTTTTTTTTCTTTTTTAAACACAATGGAATACTTTCAATTTTCAATCACAGGGTTTTTTTCTTTTCCTTTCTTAGATTTATTTATTTTTATTGGAAAGACAGATTTACAGAGATGAGGAGAGACAGAAAGACCTTCTGTCCACTCTCCTCTTCTTTCTCAGGCCAGAAGCAGGGAGCTGGATGGGGCGTGGAGTAGCCAGCACATGAACTGGCTCCCATGTGGGATCCCAGCACTTGCAAGGTGAGAATTTAGCCATTGAGCCGTGAAACTGTACCACAGCTACAGGCTTACCACTCCATTATGAAAGGTAACAACATGTAGTAAGTAGAAAATTAAAAGCAAACCCTACTCTTCCTCAGGCGTATAGAAAAGGTTCTAAACAAGAATCAAAACCCAGAATGCCATTTTCAGTTATGGGTATATTTTTTTGTGCTCTTTGTATTATCACTGATCAGAGAAAAATGGTGTTTGTCACTTTGGAACTGACTTATTCCACTAAGCATATGGCTTCTAGTTGTGTTCAATTGGCTGCAAATGACAAACTTTCCTTCCTCTTTATGATAAATAGTACTCCACAGTAAATGTATACCACATGTTCTTACCCAGTCAGCTGTTGATGGGCAGTGGGTTGACTCAGGATCTTAGCTGTTATAAACTGAGCTGCTGAAAATGTGGGGGTACAGTTAACTCATATGCTGATTTCATTTCATTTGCATAAATTCCCAGGAGTAGGTACCTTTTTCCACACATCCTTGCCAGCATTTATTGCTTTCTGATTTCTGTACAATAAACATTCTGAGGTTAGATGAAACCTGATTGTGGTTCTTATTTACTTTTGCCTGATGGTTAATAATCCTGAGCACTTTTTCATATGCATGTTGACCATTTGAATTTCAGTTTTTGAAAAGCGCCAGTTCATATACTTTACCGATTTTGTTATTGTTGGGTTTCTTGAATTCAGATCCTGCATGATAATTCTCTGTCAATTGCATGGTTTGTGAGTATTTTCTCCCATTCTGTTGGCTGCTGCTTTACTTCATTGACAGTTGCCTTTGCAGCAGAGAAGCCTCTTAAGCTTGATATAATCACATTTGCTTATTTTTGCTTTGATTGTGTGTGCTTCTGGATCTTACAGAGAAGTCTTTGCCTATGTCTTGCAGAGTGTCTCTGATGTTTTCCTCTAGTAACTTGGTGTTTCAGGTTGTAAACATAGATCCTTGATCTATTTAGTGTTAATTTTTATGTAAGGCAGGGATCGATCTTACTTTATAATTCTGCACACGTTAATCCAGTTTCCCCACTACCATTTGTTAAAGAGACTGCCCTTTCTCCTGGATTGATTTCATTTAGCTTTAATGTCAACAGTTAGTTGGCTATAAATGTGTGAATTCATTTCTCAGATTTCTCTTCTGTTCCACTGATCTTCTCAACGTATGTCTCAGCACCAAGCTGTTTTTGAAGTCCGCGTTATGATGCCCCCAAGGATTATTTTTGTTGTTTAAGATTGCTCGAGTTATTTGGGGTCTCTTGTGTTTGTATGTGAGTTTGAGCATCGTTGCTACATCGAAGAAGGATAGTGCAGGTATTTTGAACAGGATAGCGTTGAACTGTAAATTGTTTTAGGTACTGTGGGCATTTTTATAGTATTCTACCAATCCACAAACATGGAAGGTTTTTCCATGTTTTGTTTTCTTGTGTTCTTCAATATTTTATAATTTTCATCTTAGAAATCCCGGCATCCTTGATTATGTTTATTCTAAGGTGTTTAAGAATGTTTTTTTGCAACTATTGTGCAGCTCCAGCTCTGTGTGAGCCTGTGTGACGAGGTGGTTCTGTCTGAAGGGTAAATCTGTTCTTCAGTGGCAGCATCGGGGACGGTGGCCTGGCAGGGACTGTGCAGTAAGCGCACACCCGCCAAGCCTCAAGCAGAGGCACAGCAGCAAAAGGGCAGAGCGTTCTGAGGAAGCTGGTGCTGGGAATCCTGCTGCTCCCCACGGTCAGGGCAAGACGGCCGGCTGAGAAGGGCTTCGTGTGACGGAGAATTCTGTGGCTGTGCAGTAGTGTGTGGCATTTGCTGGCCTGGGTGGGCTGTTGGAACCATTGTGGGCTAAGGTCAAGTGTTGATCAGCCTCAAGAGAGAGGTGAGCTGTGATTCCACTAACAACAGGCTGACGAGAGAGAATGTGCACCATGTCCAGCTTGGGTGTAAACCTGGACTCTCACCCACACTTAAGCACTGACCAGAGTCCACTGCTCGCACCTGGCAGACACCTATGGAGATCACTGAAGGAGCAGTCATTACACCAAGCCAGAAAGGCACAGTTCAGAAATAGGAGAAAACAAGTGCCTCCAGAAATACCTTGAAACAAATGCAGAAATACAAGAAAGCAGAACAAGGAAGACATTATGAACTCCCCATAAGGAACGCAATTTCACAGTATTACAAAGTGAATATGAAGGTTATTGACGAAACCCCTGAAAATGAATGGGAAAAGAAGGTTCCAGCGTTACTCAAGCAAACAGAAACAGATTCTTGATATAAATAAATTCAGACAGGATACATATTAACATTTTTGCTGGAAGATTGAGACTTCAAAGATAAATGAAAGTATCGGGAATGAAGAATTCAGTGCCATACAGAAAATACAACGGGAAACCTCAACAGGCTTGAGGAAGAAAGAATATCCAAAATAGAAGATAAAAACACGTCAAAAAAAGAAAAACACGTTGAAAAACAAAAACCTCAAAACAGTGTCCATGGGACATCACCAGATAAACAAACATAGCTATCCGCGGAATTCCTGAAGGCGTGGAGAGGGAGAGAATGGAAATTGCGTAAAGAAAGGGACATCCAAGAACAGCAAGCACACTGAGCTCCTGACAGGCATGGTCATTAACAACCTTCACTGCCACTTACTACGACCAAGTTTCAACAGTAAAACATTATGATTATAAAATGTGCAAGAGAGAAATGTCAGGTTCACTTCAGAGAACCCCCGATTCCTGCAGGATAGGAGAGAATGGAGACACATAGGATAATTTTTTTTGCTGTTCTTAGTGCATTGCCAAGTCATGTTTGTCATATATAGAACAAGTATAAATGTACAGAGCAGTAGCGTAAAATTACAAATGATGGCTTTTATATTTAGAGACCATATATACATACATATACAACTTTTTGATGGCTTACAAAACAAGGATGATAAATACAAATGTGTAAGCCAGTCTGATTACTTATTTTTTTTTAAAGATACTCTGTAAAATGTGGCACTGTCATCAGTGTACCTTGTTCTGTCTAAAGTATTTAGTAAACCCTTCCTAATTTGGTATTTCTTGGTAAATTTAAGATTTAATGAAAACTTGATTTGGGAGGGAGAAATAATCATACTTCAGGGTGCGTTTGCTGCGCACTAAGCATCTGCTTTGGCTAAGCTGCCTGAGTTGTTCAGATTGTTTTCTCATCTATGAAATGGGCTTAGCATAATTATCTATCTACTTGTTCTGAATTGGAATAATTAAATAATACTTTTACATGTTTAGCATATGATAGGTGGTTCCTTTGATTGTACTTATGTGTGTGTGATTCACATACTTTGATTTTGTAAGGCTTATTTACTTTCATGCCGATGCAATGGCTTAATGGATAAATCCTCACCTTGCAGGAGCTGGAATCCCATATGGGTGCTGGTTCATGTCCCGGCTATGCCAATTCCCGTTCAGATCAGCTCACCTCTGGACATTGTGGCCATTTGGGGAGTGACCCAGTGGCTAGAAGATCTTTTTGTCTGTCCTTATCTTTGTAACTTGACCTTTCCGATAAAAATAGATCTTTTTATTTATTAGTTGGGAAGCTAGACTTACAGAGGCAAAGGGGGAAAAGAGAAATCTTCCTTCAGATAGTTTTCTCCCAGTGCCTACAGGGGCAGCACTGCAATGGGCCGGAGCCAAGAGCCTGCATCTTCATCTAGATCACCCACATGGGCGGATCTGGGAGCCCCAGGCAGGGGTGGAGAGCCATCGGAGCCCAGGACACTTGGCCCAGCTCCTTGGGTCTGCTTATGCAGTGTGTGCCAGGTGCATGAGCCCCAGGGGTTGGGGGGCACCAGCAGGGTCTGTGAGCCCCAAGGGTGGGAGATACTGTAGGACCTGGGTATGTGAGCGCTGAGGGTTGGGGTGCCCAGCAGGACCTGGGGTGCCTGGCCTGGATCCTTGGGCCCACCTGCAAGCATTAGCCCTCACTGGAAAAGACTGAGCAGTGAACAATAGGCCCTGATGACATGGGGAATATGGCAGCCCATTGGTACTTGCAGAGCATATCTGGTCCATAGCGGAGGAAGGAGAACAGAATGATTTGGACAGCTACCCCTGCCAAATGAGGACAGCAAACATCTGGGCAAATGGAGACTCTTAAGGTCAGCTGCGTCAGCCTATGGACATTGGAGCTGCTTCTTCATCCTTGGATCAGTGAGATCGACAGCATTTCAGAACTATTGCAACCACCTGGGCAGAACCCTCAGTGTGTCCCACGGCAGCACCCTGGGGGTTATCAGGTGGCCATTCCCCATCCCCAGGTTCTGGGGTGGTTGGGAGGCTGGGTGTGGTTTTTCGCCTTATCTCCTTGCTCCCCCCAGAAACGGGAAGAAGAGAAAGAACATTCAGGAAGCAATGATTACACTCATTTTTCCCTAACTCTCAATCCTTCCAACCCTGATCAACTACGTAAACATCATCAAAAAACAAATGATAAAAGAAGAATCTGCCATACTATAGGTTGTATATATAGATACTATAGATATTGGACTTTTCTTGATGAATTGTGAAAGTTTCTACCAGAAGGATAAGAGCAGTACTGCATGGTTAGAAAATTTTAAAATGGTGTTGAGATTTGAATGGATGGCATGTTTCACCCACTCGGAATTGGCAATATACACATTGGTAAGTTTCTAGTTATTAACTCAGAAAAGCAACTGTGTAATCATAGAAGACAGACTTAAATATCGAAGCAAAAATGCTAGCGTATTAATGTTCATGTTTGAAATAAAGCAAACGAACTGTAGACGCACTGACCAACACAAGAAGGGAAATCTGAAGCTTTGGAGGAAGGCATGCAAAGTGAAACCGAGGTTCTGTGATCGAGTTGCTGCATGTCATCCTTCGGTAACTTCATTCCCTCTGCCTCAGTTTCCATCTGTTACTATCTACTCTGTGCATCAAGTCCACCGCTGCAGGACAGCGAGAGACCCGAACACTGAAGCCGTCCCCTGCTGCTCTCCCAGGTGCATGAGCAGGGAGCTGAGCCCAAGTGGTGCAGTGAGACCCAAGTTAGACGTCACTGTCACAGGCAGCAGTTGAACTCACTGTGCCACGATGTGGGCTCCAGGAATAGGAATTTTAAAGCATAGTCTCAATATTCATGTAACCTTTTTACTATTCATTTATTCAATGAGACGCTGGTGTTTTCTTTTCCTTGGAAATAGCTGCCATGGATGCACTTGTAGAAGATGATATCTGCATACTGAATCATGAAAAAGCCCAGAGAAGAGACCCCATGACTCCAGGCTCGATATATTCCGGAGATGAATCTGTTGCTTCCCATTTCGCCCTTGTCACTGCATATGAAGATATTAAAAAACGACTCAAAGATTCGGAGAAGGAGAACTCTTTGTTGAAGAAAAGAATAAGGTTTTTGGAAGAAAAGGTAATTTTGGCTTCTGCCTTCTTTGTGCTTTATGGAATAAGAATTATTTGATATTTCAAATACTTTTCTGTGTTGTCTTCCCTGGTTGTAACTAAATTTCCGGGAATAATTCACTGTTAATCTCAAAACCCTGGGTATTACAGTCGTGCTGTGTTTTATTACCATGTGCTTGGTGAATTTTGTAGAATGAAACTTGAAAGAATTATATTCCATATATTTTCCTTCCTGCTTTTTTCAGATTGCCTTACATAATTTATGTATTTTATTTAGAATTTTCAAATTAGCACAAAAAATTAGTGAAGACAGTTAAGTATAAAAGGAGAAAACTTCTGGAATAATATTCTAATAATCATAACAAGCAGCAGAATCTAATTTCTTCAACTTTCTTTGTTCTTTAATATACGTAGTTTTAGCTGATAAATTCTTTTCCTTTTTAATCTCTTCATGTGGCATGCTTTCACTCCTAAATATTATACAGTGTAAGTCATCAAATCTAGTTGGCTTTGTGTATTGTGTAGTCCTTCTCAGTCATGTTTGTCAGTGGCCAGAGCTGAGCCAATCCGAAGCCAGGAGCCAAGAGCTTCTTCGGGGTCTCCCACATGGGTGTAGCATCCCTAGGCTCTGGGCTTTCCTTGACTGCTTTTCCAGGCCACAAGCAGGGAGCTGGATGGAAAGCAGGGCCGCCAGGATTAGAACTGGCGCCCAAATGCAGGGCTAGGACTTTAGCCAGTAGGCTGTCGCACCGCACCCTATTTTGAGTTTTAATGTTTCATTTTTTTCACATCACTTTAGTGTATTCACATTTTATAAACAACAGTTTTCTGACAAGCAGTGAAGAAGATAGATTCTTGACGGCCAAGGAAATAAATTGTCCCATAAAAAATGATGAAATGAGTTCATTAGAGTTTGATTTCTTGAGGGGAGTCAGTTGTGAAAGTTGTCATTTCTTTGCATTCTATGAGTTTTCTGAACTATGGTACTGACGGCTAAGTGAGCATGTAACTGCTGTGGCGCTCGTCCATCCTGGAACTTGCCGGTACTGCAAGATCCCACGTTGCATTTCGAGTACGGTTAACACTGCAAAGTTTTGGTTGGCATGTGACCTCCTATCCCAGCAATGCTTATTATGAAATAATGTGTAAAATTACGTGAACTAATATGAGTGCTCTTTAAAAAGTAAGGTGTGCTTTGATACTTTCTCACATTGGAAATGAATTATGACTGACTGGGAAAACTGCGGTTTCAGAAGGATGTTGTACTGTGTTGTAGGATGAAGGACTGACGTGTTATCAAACAGACACTATGAAGTATAAAATAGTGACTAGAATAGAAAGCTTTTAAAGATAACTACACTCTTGCTTTCTTAATCAGCGAAGAGTAATTGAGTGCAAATGAAATGCTCATTTAATTATAGTCCAGTCTTAATGCTTGAATAACCGGTTGAAATAATGTGTGAGCCCATGAAAAGACTGGTTCTCTTGCTTGCTTGTTTTTTACTGTAGGAATAGTTCTGAAGCTTTCTCTTCCAATTTCTTCCCATTAGCTTCTAGGAGCTCGATGTGATGAAGAGACAAGTTGCGTGGGACGAGAACAAGTGAATAAGGCCTATCATGCCTATCGAGAGGTCTGCATTGACAGAGATAATTTGAAGAACCAATTGGATAAAATGGTAAGTTGACTTTGAAAGAGGGGTGTCTGTATGTTGCAAATAATTTTTCTCCTTCAAGAGGTCTAAAATTAGAAATGAAGTTGAGTATAAATACTTAGTATATGGTACTGTTTAGAATGTAAAATCCTTCTAATACCACTAACTTATTTTGGAAAATTACGGCATGGTAGAATCAGTTACTGTGCTTAACAAATGGTAAGGCGGTGAATGAGAGTGTCCCAAGCTAGAAAAAGGGATTCCTTTGAAAGAATTCGTTTTCTCACCTTGCCTTTAAAGTAGTTTTTTCAGTATCTACTTCAAAAGTAAGATATAAGCCTGTGGATTTGATTGAATGTAATTTGACATTTTCCCTGCTTAATTAGAATAAAGACAATTCTGAATCTCTGAAAGTATTGAATGAACAACTGCAGTCTAAAGAAGTAGAACTCCTCCAGCTAAGAACGGAAGTGGAAACTCAGCAGGGTATGCTACTTACTTGTCATAAACAGTAACACTAAAATAATATGCTTTTCCATTACATGTTATGCCCAGTATCAGTTTTCTATATCTGTATGCTAAGGCCTTTTTTTTTTTTTTAATGTTTGGGCTCATGTTAATTTTTTTTTTTGCTTTTACGTAATATCAAATTCTTTTTAACTTTTCCTTAGTTGTAAATGTTACTTTTCCTAAAGACAATTTGATGGTTTTTTTTTCTGAACGTCATGAAAAGGTGCAAATGAGATGCTGGGGTAGAAAGTTAGTTCTCTCAGAGGTCTTCTTTTAGGAAATAGAGTATTTTTTTTATAGTAGTGGAATTGGGCTTCTTGATAAATTAAGATACTAAGGTACTGTCTGCAGCTTAAAGCAGTATCCAGGTTTGTTGAATTTTACAGTGGAATAGTTATGGGAAAAAAATGATACAAATTGACACAATGTTCCAGGCATGTTAGAATTTATATACTCTGAAAAGACCAGAATTAGTTGGATCTTGGTTTCATATTTTATCACTGTCTAATCTTTATGCTTGCAAAACAGTATTAATCTACCTACATTTTTAGCTTATGCTTGTTTTATCAATATATTTTAAAATTGGAGATTGACAAATTTGTACCTTAAATGGAAAGGAATAATAGAGTGCTTAATATATTCAGCAAGATTGGTGGAATTCTTATTTTTATTAGTATAGAAATTTAAAAGTACTTCCTGGATTTAAAAATGTAATGATTACATATGTTTTATGTTTAATTTTTCTTTTACCTGCATTCTACTAGGATTGTTAGAATTGCAGTCAGTGTAGATGACGCAGCTAACAGTGTCTGTCCATCCCTGTTGTAGTGATGAGGAATTTAAATCCTCCATCAAACTGGGAGGTGGAGAAGATGAACTGTGACCTGAAAATCCACGGTTTGGAAAAAGAACTGGAGCTGATGAGGAAAGAATGCACTGATCTCAGAACTGAACTACAGAAGGCTAAGCAGACGGTACTACGGAAGAGGGAATTGACATCCAATATTCTGTTTCATGTTACATGGAATTTACGACTAGTAAACTGCTAACATAAATTGGGGCTACTTAGGGAATACTCACATTTGCTGAAAAACTTATCCTCCTCCTTTAATCTTTCTTCTAATTTAAATTACCTGTTACCTTTAAGCCTTATCACAGAATGATATAACTTTGCTTTTGAGAAAGACTGCTGTTTTCCCCACCAGTGTATTCCAGCACTGGTAAGGAGCTGTGCTTTCTAGTCCATGTTTCTCCGGGTTGTCACCGCCTAAAGGAGGAACTGTTTCCCCTTCTGACTGAAGTCCAGGTGTCTTTAGATAGAAGTGACACTTCTGTAAATTACAGTTCTTATCAGAAGGTAAGAGTGAGTCAAGTATTAAGAATTTTACAGCAGGCTACCTTGGTCTTAGACAAGTAGATTTCTCTGAACTAGGCAATGGGAAGTCTCTTCAGACCTTTCAGCCCTGATAAGGAAATGCTGAAAATTAGTTAACTTCTGTTAGAACTCTCCCTTTTTTCTCCAGTCTGCCTTCTGCAGTTGATTTTCCCAGCTCTGAACTTTGGCCACATTTCAGTTTTTTCAAAGCCATCAGGATTCTGTTCCAAAGCCTAGTTGCCATAGTCACAAGAGGCATCTTTTTAACTGATGTCTTTGCAAGGAAAATCTGCATTTGAAACTCTAAATTTAATTGAATATACCATCAACTTGAAATTATTTGATAGTTTGTCGTACTGTGCAGATATTTCATGGTTTAATAAAAAGTGTTGACCATAGAGTCATAAAAACCCAGCACAGTGCATTGTCGTGACTCTGCTCAGTAACTGTCGTGTAAGAACTGTTGTTTAGCTCTTTACAACTTCCTTCTGGAAGGTAGGCGTTATTTTCCCATGAAGATTAAATTAATGTATGTAAAAGTTAGGATTGTGCTCAAGGTGCAGTGTGTTCAGTGAGTTTGAACAGCTTGATTAGAGTAATTCAGAAAAGGATTGATTCTGTTTGTGTAAGACACAGGCTAAAATTTTTGATTTGAAATTTACTACTCTTTCCACTAGATGGTGCTAAGGAATAAATTTCCTTTCAGTTGATATGCAAGCAAATCATAGAAATAGAGATACAAAGAACTTTAAAAATGACATTTTGTTCCTTTAGACTCTATTTATTTTCATTTTATTTGAAAGGCAAAGAGAGATTTGTCTGTTGGTTTTCTCCCAAGATGCCTGTGCCATCCAGGCTAGGGCAGTCTGAGGCAAAGAGCCTGGAACTCGGTCCCTGTCCCCACGGGGAGAGCTGGGACCTGTTACCTGCTCGGATGTGCGTTTGCGAAGCACTGCAATGTGAAGTGGTGTTAGGACTCAAAACCCGGCACTTGGGTTGGGGATGCAGGCTTCCCAAGAGGCTGTGGTTGTGTCAAACTACCGTTCCTCTTTATTTAATTGATTTAATTATTTGCTTATATTATTACTCCTATGTGTTTGAGAGACAGAGCACGCTGGAATTCATTCAGCCATTCAAGGAATAGATAATAATGTGAATATTCTAAAAGACTTCAGATTAATACCTTCAGAAATGTACTTGTAAGATTTCAGGTTCTATAATATAAAATTCTAATTTTGCAGGAAAAAAAATTCAGATGTGTTAAGGAATTAGAAGTGATTTAGAAATATTTTATATGGTTTAAAAGTATTTCATGAAAATTTAGCCTAACTTTGCCCTATGCAATTATAGACATATTCTTAAAACTATGATATGTATCTGTGATAATAAAGACCTGAAAATAGACTGTACCAACTGTAACTTGCTGATTTCTTGCCCAATGACAGGCTCCGTCGGAGGAGGACAGCCTGAAGAGCAGCACTGTGCAGAGAGCCAGCGTGTCAAGGTAGGAGCATTCCTCCACGGCAGGGCAGGGCTGCGGACGTGACTTCAAACACAAAACAAGCACATACGCTGTGGGGACCAAATGGAACCCCTGGTCACAATGTATCTATAAAAAACATTGCATTGTTACTGATAGTAATCTTGAAATTTGGTAAAAAATGCATATTGTGATGCCTTAAAATTTCTTACCATTGAGTAATAATTTGCATAAGATGTTAGAGAAGAACTAGCTTTATGAAAATTTTCTGTTAGTGAAACCAGATTTTTATACATGAGAGTAAGTGTTATGAACATACAAAAATATCCCTTTGTCTTGACTCAAACCTAGACAACTTCAGTTATTTGGGGTAGTATGAATTTTAAGAGAATTTAGAGATTTTTTTTTCTCTTTTTTTTTAAGATATATTTGGAAGGCAGAGTTACAGAGATAGAGGGACTAAGGAAGGAGGGAGGGAATGAAAGAAGTGTCTTCCCTCTCCTGGTTCATTCCCGTAACAGCTGCAGTGGCCGAGGCTGGGCCTGACCCAAGGCAGGCGCTCACCTGGGTCTCCCCCAGGGGTGCAGGGGCCCATGCATTTGCCCATCCCCCCTGCTTTCCCAGATGTTATAGCAGGGATCCTGACCCGAAGTGGAATGGCCAGGACTCTAACCCGGGTAGGATGACCCTGCACATGGCGAGTTGATCCACTATCAATGCCAGCCACAAAAACACTGACCTCTTGTGGTGAGAACAGAAGTAGCTGCGCAGGTCACATACTGCAGCCTCACTGTTTTTCTCTCAAGTACAGATCATTTTGCTTAAGTAACAAGCTGGTTTCTTGTTTTTGTTTTCTAATATGGTAATTGTTTCTGCTGTGTTAGGATGAATATTAGCATCCAATACCCTGTTCAGTTGATTGGCTTCCAAAATTGTTTGATAAATAAAATGAATTGCCATAGGCCTATTCCTATCAAAAACCTGCTTCAAGGAAATGATAAATTAAGGAAAACAATTTGAAGAAATTATATACAGCTATTCTTTTAGATCAGAGGTTGGCAAACGTTTTCCATAAAGTGCCACCAATAAATAATAGGGTTTGTGTGCTGCCCATATAGCAATATCTGTTATAATTATTCAGCACTACTGTATAAACTACTTTTTTAAAAAAGTTTATTTATTTTTGTTTGCAATAGTTTATTTTTTAAAGATTTATTTGATAGGCAGTTAGAGCGAGACACAATGAGGAAGATCTTCGATCAGCTGGTTCACTCACCAAACGTCACAGTAGCCAAGGCTGGGGCAGACCAGAGCTGGGAGCCAAAAGTTCCCTCTAAGTCTCCTCTGTGGTATGGCAGGGGCAAAGTGTGGGTGATCCCAGCGTGCTAGCTAGCAGTTATGCATCCACTGGGATCCCATATGGGTGCTGCTTGTGTCCCACCTGCTCCACTTCCCTTCCAGCTCCCTGCTTGTGGTCTGGGAAAGCAGTAGAAGATGGCTAAAAACCTTGGGACCTTATACCTGTGTGGGAGACTGGAAAAAGGTCCTGGGTCCTGGCTTCAGATGGGCTCAGTTCCTTCCTTTCAGGCAGATGGAAGATCCCTCTCTCTGTAAATCTTTCTAATTAAGAAAAAAAAAAAAAACTTGGACCATCTTCTGCTTTCCCAGGTGAGCTTAGTCAGGAGCTGGATCTGAAAAGAGAGCAGCCAGGACTTGAGCCAGTGCTCACGTGGGATGCTGCTATGCCAGGCCGTGGCCTAACCCACTGTGCCATGATGCCATCCCCAGAATTTTCTCCAAGTTTTTATAGCAAAGAACTTTTTCCCTGTTTAAAATATATTTATACACACATATATATACACACATACATGCATGTATATACATATATGTAGAGAGAAAGAGTACATTTTCTGTGTAAACAATTTCTCAGTGTAATTTTCTGTCATCTGGGTTTTCCCCTATAACTGCTGTATTTGTCATTTTTATAAATCACTTCAAAATCAGTTGTGAAAGAAGCAGGGAACAGATAAATATATTAGACTCAGACTAGTTCAAATAAGGTGCCTATAATAAATAGCACACTGGAAGTAAGAATATATACATAACGGGGTTTCTGCTTGCATTCACGGGGATTGTATAATTTGGATTGCTGCCATGGAAATTTGTCTTGATCCTTAAAAGAATAGCTGTTTGAAAGCATCAGATAACTAGCAGCTAAGAGAAGAGTGTCTGAGCTAGGACTGAGAGAGGCTCAAGGCCCAGGAAGGTGACCCCAGTGTCAGACTGGAGCTACAACTGCAGCATCTAAGTACCAGTTTTGAATTCTTTAATACTCAAAATCCTAACATATAAAGCCTTGGTTTAGAAAATATAAAAGAGCTTTAATGTTATTCAAACTTTTTAATGTTTTTTTCTGGTAATTATAAATTTAAGTTAATGATAAGCATTTTTAAATGAATAAAACAGAATAGTACATAACAGAATAGATTACATATCATAAAGTCAAGTATGGTTTGCTGTAACTTTGCTTTGGCTTGCTGTGTAAAATGATTGCTTATGGGGCTTTCAGTTCAGAACATTTAAAGACATGTAAGGAATCAAAGTTACAGTACATCACATTTGTAAATCTATAGTTCTGGGCTAGTAATATTTCATCCTTTTAGCTCATCCTTGGCACAGGTGGGGGAATGTCTGGCCTGTCCAAGGCAGTTGCAGGAGGGACCTGAAATTCAGCTGACCTATAACTGGATAGTTTTTAAGTTACTTTTTGGATGGCCCACAGATGGTGTTACAAATATCTAAAAGGCCCTTAGGAGAAAATCTGCTCCCCATCCCTAGTAGGGAGATAGAATAGGTCAGTAATTTTCAAATGTTAAAGATACACTGCTGAAGTAGAAACTCAGATTTCCCTTAGATGAAGCGCTTCCTTTCTGTGTTTCAGAGCTGAGTGTATAGTGTCAGTTAAGAAAACAGCTTTTACATAGTTTTACTTTGAAAGTGGGACATGGCAGCCCTTGGAGATGTAGACAGGCTGTATTATTACATCCATAGGTCAGATGTGAAATTGTTATACTGGAGCTGAGATGACGTTGGCAGCATTTTTTAACTGCTAAATGAATGATGATTATATGAAATGTATACCCCAAATTGGCAGTGCTCAGTCAGTTGATTGAATAGGTAAAAGACATCTCTGAAATGCTGCATAGTAAAATGGAATGAAAACCTGAATCTGTTTTATCACGTGTAAAAAGAAGTTATGTACTTCGCCACTTCAGTGTGCGATTGTGGTTGAAGGGCCTAACACCTCTTTGAAGCACAGCCATTTTTATATCATTGTACTTTATAAAATTCCCCTTTGGAGCACTTTAGTGTTGAATTTCATTATTCAAGTACTATTAATATTCTTTATAGACATATATAAAATTGGCATTTTGCTTCTGCATCATTGAAACCAAAAATAATTCGGAACTCGGGTACATGTGCAATCTATGTGTAATCTCAAAAATATTAGATAAACAGGGTTCATTGGAAATTGGAGGGAGGACAACCTGCCTTTCCAGTCTCACTTTAGTTTAAATATTTTGTTCAAGTAGATCAAATTCTTTAGAAAAAGATTGCTTTTTTGTTTGAAAGGCAGAGGTACAAAGAGAAGGGAAATCAGAGGTCTTGCCTGCACTGATTCTCTCCCCAGATGGCCACAATGACCAGAGCTGACGTGCAGCTGGGAGCCAGGAGCTGCCTCAGTTCTCCCACATAGGTGTGGGTGCCCAAGGGCTTCGAGCCATCCTCACTGTTTTCCCAGGCCATTAGAGCGGGAGCAGCAAGGACACACACCTGTGCCCATGTGGGATGCTGGCACTGCAGGCGGAGGCTTCACCTTCCACATTATGGTTCTGGTCCTAGAATTATATTCTCTCTATGCACTTCAACACCACAGTCCTTTAGTATTCACTGTGAAGTAGCTAACAGTAACTGCCATGACTTTTCTATCCACAAGAGGGAGAACTGTACTTAGTAATAATTTTACATTTTATACCTTGTTTTCAGTGCAGCTGAAATTAAGAGTAAGATGCAGAGATTACGTATTTGTTAAACTTGATGACATAGTTTCAGCCTAACTTATTATTTAAGTCTTGAATTGAAAAATGTGTTAAAGACGCTGTATTTTCATATAATTGTTTATTTTGCATGTGTCACTGTTTTTAATGATTAGATCTATGTGGTATTTCAGTAACCAAACAGTACCATTGGTTTTGGCTTTTATTTCATATAAACCAGGTAATGATTCACTGTCTTGCCTCATTAATAAACTGTTCTTAGCTATCATACCATGACTACACCTAGTAGCCTAGGTACAGTATTTCTGCTGACGGCTGTATAATGTGAGGTATTCTCTGGTACGCACACTGAATGCCCAGAGTTGCTCCAAGGAACCAGCCAGCAACTGTCCTCATGCTTCGGACAGGTTCCCATGTGGAACTTTCATTATGGCAAACATCCTGAATGTTTCATGGTGAAGTAAAAGTGGCTAGCTAATTTTGGTGTGTTATTTTTACACCTACCAGAAACCTGCAAAAATCTGTGTGAGTTTAATGCACCATAGTAGGTTAATAACTGAACAGACTGGAAGGAAATAGATATTTTTTTTAAAGCAGGGTAAAGTTCATCCCGCTGCTTAATATAAAAGAATTATAATCTGAGTGGAATGGTGATACTTTGACCAGAAGGACAATCTCACATAATTCAGAATAATTATTTTGGAATCTATCTGTTGCTTGTTATTGGGATGTTACCTTTAAATTTCAAGAGTGCTACCCTTTGAATCTTGTTTATAGTTAGACAAAAACGGGGGCATGTTTGGTTTGCTTTCTGTACTACTATGCGTACAGCAGTCTCTTACAGAGGCAGTAATGGCTGGCTGACCAGAACAGTTGTTCTTACATTTAATGCTTCAGATATTCCTGTACAACAAAGGAGAATATACTGAACATTTTAGTTATCCAGTTGGCAGTAAAGGATCTGAAGAAAAAAAATTAAAAATATCCAAATAATGTTTAGTAGAGAATAAAACAGGAAATTTGCTGTAAAGTAACTAAGTAGTGTCTCTAGCAGTTCAGGTAAAACACCTTTCATTGTAAACCCTGAGATGTATTTTTGAAGTTTTGTTGCTTCTGTTTCATGTAATCCTTCCCTAGCTTCTTTTTCCTTATCAGGAAATCATCTGGCTCTTCCTGTCTCGTGCTGTCATGTCACGTTGGTTTAGAACCAACAATATGCGACAGCCCAGTCAAACATAAAGAATGTAATTCACGAAACCTAAAGCTTAATGTGGATGGGATACACTCAGCAATTGATACATCATTTCAGTTTACGATGTCAAATATCAACAGTAGAAATTTAGAATCCATATATGAATGAATATAACGTGATTCTTGACCAGACTTGCAAATGAAGAGCAGAATCCTTACTACCTACTAATTATGCTAACATCCCTCAACATTACAGCATTGTAATTTTCATAAGAGACCTGTGAGAAACTCGCCGGTTAGAATGTTTCCTTTCATTTTAATCCTTTTAATGGATTATACTTAATTGCTAGAAATTAGGACAGTGTTATTCTTAGATCTTTTCACTCTAATATCTGTCTTAAAAATTCTCCAACTGTTATCTATCCAGACTGAGCCAAAGAATAGATCTGCTTAATTCCCTTTTATCCATGAAAACGAAAAACTAGAAAAAATTTTTATTTCAGTGACAATATGCAGCACGCATACTGGGAACTGAAGAGAGAAATGACGAATCTGTACCTGGTGACTCAGGTACAAGCTGAGCTGCTGAGGAAGCTGAAAGCCCCCGCTGCAGCCAGGAAAGGTAAGGCACGAATGCAGCCCAGATGCTCAGGGAGCAGCGCAGTGTTTCTTATCAGAATTTCATCAGCTAAGTTTGATAAGCCGAAGTACATTTAGTTCACAGTCCACCCGTTTTCTGCTCTGGCTTCAGTCTCATACTGGTCAACTTCACACATAAAGGTGTTGCTGATGTGTTTTTTTCTTCACTACTGTATTCTTTTCCCCTTGTGGCTTTTCTCAGCCAAGTGTTGCTTATGAGTATAAGGCTGAGGTGTTAAGTTTGTTCTAGTTGACCTTTTACCACAACTACTTCATATCTTTAAGGGGAAAAAAAAAAGACACCATGAACCTTTTTTCATTATATTGCTACAGAGTACAACAAAGATGTAGCTTTCTCAGTTTATCAGAAAGGGAAAAAAATTTGATTGTTAGTGACAAAAATTTATAAAAACTGCAAAAGATACTTACCAGAGGAGTGTCTAAGTGCTTTCCCTGTGTCTTTTTTAAACTAAACTGAAATTTTGACTACTTTGCCTTTTATACCTAACTGCTTGCCTAATTAGGCAAACTGTTGGCTTTTGTGTTAGCTAAGAGTAGATGCTTTCACCAAAGCTCTTTACCTTACAGGAAAATCTGTGTGTATTTGGTATAATATAAATGGTTTACTTCTTTAGAATTGCATATTATAAGTTTGAATGCTTTGAAATTTTTTTAAAGAAATGTGATTTCTTGAAAAAAAGACACATAAAATTATTTGTATTCCAAACTTAGAGCACAAGGAAATGTGGTGGAAATATTGCACAGTGGAAGCCTGAAGCCTGTCTCTGAAGAATGGAATACTTAGAACTAGGCACAAATAGTGTGTCAACAAGGCAAGCTCAGGTGGTGGTTCGCGTTGCCCTTTGGTTTTCCAGTGGTCAAGATTATGTATAAGAAGAGTATAAGCTAAAGATAGGAATAAAACTTTAAGTCAGTTAATTTTAAAAAGTAAATTTTCAATATGATTGTTTATGTAACAAATATAGCTTGATGAAAGGACAATGCTCTTGGCATAGTAAGATGACCTACCGGTGGTCATCCTTTAGTTCCTGCTAATGATTTATTTTATGCTGTGGTCCTTAAATGTCCTAGCACATTTCTTAGAACAATGGTAGGCTAAAGGTAACCACTTCTTACTACAGAATTCACTGCTTTGACAAGTAGAGATGAGATTGAATCAGCATTTTGCCAGAAATTGAGCATCATTGTTCCCAGTTCTTCTCCGTCTGCTCTACTCCCTGTCCCATGTGATTTTGATATGGTCAAGCTTTAGTTGCACTTTGCTTAGCTCAAGGATACATTTCTTTTTACCTTAGATTGTGTTAGGATGAATCCTTGATGATAACATACACTTATTCTGGGTGTGGCTTTAAAGCAGTCTTTTTTTTTCTAAGCCATTATGTATGCAATTTTTTTTAACTTGACCTGTATTATGGCCATGTATAATTTACATGTGCCTATTATATGTGTGTTTTGTAAAAAAAAAAAAAATAGGCTTATGTTACAATTTTTTTAAACTGCTTTGTGCATAAAACTGTTAAAACTGGATTTGTTCTCACTAATTGAAAATTACTTTTCTAGAAATAATTTTTGAATCACCTGTAGACAAATGTTTCAATAAGCTGAAGTGTATATTTAAAATTTTTTCAAAATTAACATCCTTAGTGTTCACTGACACCTAAAAATAGTCTTTTAGCCTTTTCTAGCCATTTTATGAGCCAAGAAGAGGATGTTGTATTTTAGCTGCCAGTTTTGAACTTGTAAAAATACACAGTTCTGCATCTTTGAATAACTTACAGGACAGGATTACTGCAATTATATTACAGAAAAGGAAAAGTGAGACTTAACCTCACATTGTAGGCAAATAACTGTTAAGGATCATACCTGAGATGATCATTTATCCCGCAGTCATGGCACCCCTGTGCTTGCAGTGGGGCTTAGACAAATTAGTGAAGTGTTAGAGTATTTTATGATCACAAATGTAGTGAAAACTGACATTAACCTATTCGTTGTTTTTTAGCCTATGGCCCAACAGCCTGCACTGAAGACTTTGGGAAGGACAGCACAAAACTCCACTTGACAAATTTTACTGCATCATACAAAAGACACGCCCCTCTCTCACCAACTAGCAGAGCTGTCTGTCAAAGTACATCTCCCCCTTTTCCAGGAGATACAAAGATTTTATCAGAGAAAGCACTTCTGCAATCATGGACAGATAATGACAGATCCATTCCTAATGATGGTACAAACTTTCAGGAACCCAACTCTTACAGCAGAAGTTCTCTAGAAGATAATTCTTGGGTGTTTCCAAGCCCTCCGAAATCAAGTGAGACAGCATTTGGGGAGAGTAAAAGTAAAACTTCGCCTTTGCCCAATCTGCCATCACTGCATTACTTGGATCAACATAATCAAAACTGCCTCTATAAGAATTAATTCTGAAGAGATTGTTGATTTATCATGAGGATGCTGTATCTCTTGGTAGCTCTCCCCAGAAGTTATTTCACAGAGTGGATTGTGACCGTCTTCAGTGTATATACATTTGAACACATCCTATTTGATATTATGCACTTGATTTACCAATGTGAAAGAAGAGCCTTCCAGCTTCATAGTCAGAATCAGATGTATGCCACACTCCCAACTGAAGGTGTGTTGCAGAAAGACAAGTCTGGCTTTCATAACAACTGTAAAATTTTGCTTCTCAAAAATATGGTTTAGCAAAGTGTATAAAATATTCAAATATCCATTTGTGAAAGTCAAAAAGCACTAATACAAGAGAAAAAACAAACTTGTATGTTTCAGGCTGCATAAAAAGCTCATATGGCAGTGTGAGTAAGTTTCTGTTGACTTTTTAACGCATAGATTTGGGAAATTATTACAGTGGAATAAAAGTATACGCTGCTGCATCAATAATGCTGTTATGTTTCAAAGTGTAAGATATGATAGGTGTAGTCAGTGTTATTTGTTGATACAATGTTATTTGTTGATACAATTGTAATTTTAGAATTACAATTTGAATTTTAAGACTTGAGGTAACTTGCTCAGAGGCCAATTCTGTCTCAGTGCGCTCCTCCAGCCCTAACTAGGGGGAAGAGAGCAATGATGAAGTGTAAGAACTGTGTGATATACGAATAAACTATGACAATATATATTATTCAATTAGAATTAGAAAGACCATCACACAGATCCGTCTGTCGTTTCAGTGTCTGTAATGAAAATGGGTGTGTCATGTTTTTCAAAGGGAATACAGCTCCTGATTACTTGGAACAGCTTACAAATTTTATACTTTGGCTCGATGTATAATCTACTTATCGATAAAGTGATTTTTAACTAGTTGAATTAGGAATTTTTGTTCTAGCACCAAATTTTATAATGTATTGATAATAGTCCAGTAGTGAAATGTCCCCCACCTCTTACATTCTGTGTGGCAAATCAAATTCCTTGTAAAAAAGGAAATTTAAAAATGTGGCTTCACTTGGAAATTTATCTAAATTCAAATAACGTTATTAAGAATGAGTAATACACTACTTACATCTTTTTCCTGGAATAAAGTATTTCATGTTGTGAGACTTTACCCTTTCTGATAGTTTCTTGTATTTTGAACTCTGATATCTAAGATGTCTTGTATCACTGTAGCATACATACAGTGTTCACCATTCACTAGAGATTTCTGCCTTTGTATTATCTTACTTATTCAAGCTTCTGTGATTAATGGAATTGGTTTCAGATGCTGGAATTTATTCTGACCAATGAACATAGCAGACTCAAGGGAATAGAGCCTCCTGCCAAGTGACAGCATAGAACCCAATACGCATGAAACAAATGTTAGAGTCCAGGCTTTAGCTAAAGAGACCAACTACCTGTGTAATGACAGAGCAGCAGGAGCTGTTCCTCATGTGGCCGCATGGGCATGCATGATACAGCTCACTGGTGTGCCTTTATTAAAACCAAGACTAGGAATTTTTCCTTGGTAAAGTTGTCTTACGAGATAATGACACGATTAATATTTTGAACAATGCAAAAAGATTAAAATTTTTATTTGACGTTTAAGTGGATATGAAATATTCCTTCTATATTCCAATATCTGCTTGCTTTTAGTTAATTTGATACAGCAGACATGTAACCAATTTGTTTTGAGTGAATTATTTTCTACCTAAAATAACAGTGATGATAGCTGCCAAACCAGGTATATTGCAAAGGCAATGACTGTTTAAAAAAACTGACATTGCAAATATTTATGGGAAACCATGATATTTTAATACATGTATTCATCTTGTAAAATGTTCAAACACATGTTCTCAACATTTATTATTTCTTTATAGTGAAGAGATTCAACAACTTTTTTCCTGTTTTGAACATGTATATGGTAGGGAGCATGAGAACATATTTTATCTAACTATAACTGCATTAAATAACCTTTCCCCATCCATCTCTTCCCAGGCTATGGCAGCCAGTATTCTACTGTGTGAGAAATTCTCGACAATTTAAAGTGCTAGATAAATTGTGTTAACACTTTGGAAAGATTACCCCAAAATTATTGCCCAGTAAGAAATTCTTAAATCTATACTTGACTATATCTGTTTTAGGTAAGATTTTTTTAAAAATTGATACGGAGTGGTCTACTGATAGTTTATAATGTGAATGTACTTAAAAATGAAAATTTTGTTGACATTTATATTTACTAAAACTGGATACAGTGAGCTTTCTTTGAAAATTTTTTTTCTAAGAACCCAAATCAGCACCATTGTAATGCACAAATAAAAAGACAACAGAACTAAAATAACAAAACCTTCCTCTCAAACCCTCACTGGCTGAAGTGTGTTTGTCTAGGGCTTGTCCCATCCCATAGACGTGTGCTTGGGTTTGATACCCAGTTCTAACTCTTGTGTAAACAGAGTGGTGATGACTCAAATAGTGTGGATTCCTGCCATTCACGGGGAAGACCTGAATTGTGTCCTGGCCCCTGTCCCAGCCACAGCTGTTGGCATTGGGAGGAAGGAACCAGCAGACTGAGTTCTTGTTTCTTCTATTTCTGCCCTCAAGTAACAAAAAATACATCATGAAAAATTTACATTTCTAAAAGTAACACTGAGTTGTTGCCAACAGACCTGAATCTACTGAGCACAGCCATAGCTCTGACCCATTACAAAACCAAAATGAGTAGGGAAAAAGACCTCAAAGAGCTGAGATATGACAACAAAGTAATGATGTCATCCAGACAGGCCACTTAAAGGGAAGCTTAATAACTTAAAAGACCATCGCTGGTCACTAACAGGGAACAAAAGCAAAGCGACCAGTACAAAAAGTACCAGACTTACTATGAAAACTTGTGTTCATTTGGAAAGCTGTGATGTATGGTTTAATTTGACCTCATGGAACAGGATTGTATTAAGCTAACAATATGCCGTTTTGAGGATTAAAATACATGCACGATTTAGGTCTGATCATTTTGTTTACATTTCCTTGAACTGTGGGCACAGAAGGCCTGGTCTAAGATGAAGAACTGAGTGATGTAACATCTAAGGAGACCCCACTCATTTCATCGCTCTTGCAGGATTGTCATGTACCTCATCTGTTGTCCCTTGATGGAGACGAAGGAGATGAATGGCACTAGCCTGCCATCCCCCTGCTTGCTAAGTTGTACCTAATTTCAGGTTCAGTTAAAGGATTAATATTTTCACACCTCCATAGGTAAACTGTCCATACAGAATTCAAGGTGGTTGCTTTTATTGAAAGTCATAAAACACGGTATTACAATCATTGCTTTGCCTTTCCTTCATTTGAATTACTAGACGTGAGAATCAGTAGCCAGTTGTCCTAGTGTTAGGACGCCCGTTAATAGTGAGGTCTCAGGTGCTATACTCTGAGGAATACAAACAGCAGAGCTGGCCAAAAAGGAGTGTTGGGCTTGTGTGTCTATGTTGTGTGGCCTTCTTAGGGTTCTGTATTGTGTTTCTTTTGTCTCTAAGCTCCATCCTTTGCATCCATTTGTATTTCAAAGAAAATCTGAGAGTCATTCAATAGTAAATGTGAAACTTGCAGCATCCATCTTTAGGGACCTATTTCATTTAAATTAAAACAGCAAAAATCCTTATTGCCAAGTGGTTTGGACACCAATGAAAATCTTGTCTAAGTGGATAGTTGTAATTACAAAGGACCATGTAAAAATACACATAAATTTACTTACCTGGAAACTAGTTAGGATGGTTGTTGTGAGTTAATCGTTGATGAATACAAAAAACATGATTTTTAATGTTATTGTTCAACCTTGGACTAAATTATTGCATGTGACAATTTTTCACATTGCTTCTTGAGTCTCTGTGTAATGGTAATATAAAATATATTTTAGAAACTTCAATGATTTAAGTAAAATTCATGAGTACTTACCTCCCTGTTTCCAAACAGGCCTTCAGTAATAATGGTAAGTCCCAATTATAGAGCATTTACCATATTTGAGGCAACTTCTTATACATTATCATATACGGTAATAATGTTCAGTAAACTAACAAAACCTGAAGTTTACTTCCACAGGTATACTGTTAATAGTGGTAGAAACAGGAACTAGTCTGTGTCATGGCCATGGTACAGCACAGTTCTACCTTTGTTCTACTTTCTTACTTTTCTTTACTTTGCTTCCCAGGATCAGCCGTTAGTCTACATACTGACACAAGGTTCATATGGAGCAGAACACCAGTATTGCTTCTACAGAAGAGCAATCCTGAAAGAACTAAAACATCCAGAGTGATCACTGACATTTACTTTTATCTCATTTCATCAGGCAGCACATTAAAATAAAGATCTTTATTCTAGGTGATACTTTCATAATTAGGATGAAACAAATTTGTATCTTGAGTCCATTATCCAGGAGATTTAGACTACAAATGCCTTCTATGGACGTTAGTCTCTGAGTGTCACTGGAATATTTTCTACATGCTGGTAGGAAGCTTCTGTAATCTTTTCTTAGTAGGAATTCCAGTTTTTCTGAATTCTTCCCTTTCCTTCAGGTACTCCATTTTGCATTCTTCATAAAAGGCTGGATCTTTATAGCTAGAAGGAAGGATGAAAATATTTTTAAATGAATAACAATGCAAATGTTCACAGACTCAATCTTTAGTGATGTCACAAAATTCCCTGAAGATAGGCTACTACACTACAGGGAGAAAAGCGAACTATTGGTTGTTTTTCACAGAGGTGGAACTGTCCCAAGCAGAGCAATGAGAACTCCTGTCCTCTAGGGGCGCATGGTGCTACAGGGATGACCATGTGACTGCATGACAATGTGCTCTAACAGAAGTCTGCCCAGTATACCATGGGAACTGGAAGGGGCAGGTATGTCTGACACGGAGAAATGCCCAGGTTTCATTTGCAAGATTTGATAGGACTTAGCATAAAAGGCGCGTATGGGCATGTGGATGAAGAAGCAGTGTAAAAATCTGCAAGTAGATTGCTACCAACAGGAAATGATGCACAGAGAAGAGATAAAAGTGGAATGGGAAAGAGCCAAATCGTAAGTCATTTACACCATACTAAGAATTACAATCTGTCCTGAAGGATGTTGTTAGCAAAGCAACTACAAAGTCAGTGTCGGAGTTTGATGGCACGTAGCAGGGATGCTGAAAGGGGCCAGTGTGCTTTGGAGAAGGAAGTACAGTAATCCAGATACGTCGTGATGGGGTACTCGGTCAATGAAGAGCTGTAGAAAAGACGAGATCACAGGAGATCTAAGAAATCAACAGGAAATAACCAGTTAGGGGTAGGGGAGAAGACGCTGGATTCCAGATAACTCTGATTTACAAATACATTTGAGGAGGAAGTAGCAAAAGGCAAGTTCAGTTACAGACCTGAAGAAAGAAGTACGACATATACACCCAAAGTCTGTGAATGCTAAATGAAGTTTCTCAGACAGGAATTAGAGGGGAGCAAGGGAAACCCCAACTGTAAGAAGTGAGCTGAGGGAATAAGTTTGAGAAGTATGGGGAATGTACGGCAAAGAGTAAAATCAAGGAGGTCAGAATTTTAAGAAGGGATTGTCAGAGAGAAGATAAAAACTTAGATGTAGCTTGCATGAACCCAGTAGACCCTTCAGGAAGAGCCATTTCAATAGAGCTAGGGCAGAAGTCAGACCACATGGTGGGGACTGAATGAAGGTAGGAGGCAAAAACACAGGAGCACAAGTCATTTCAACACACCAGCATACAGGGAAACCTGGAGAGGTGTAGTTAATACATTCATTCCATGGATTTCAACAGCAATTAAAGCAGAGCAGTTTCTTAAACAGCAAGAAATACTATTATGTATATGCTGCAACTTAAGTAAAATTTTCCTTAATATCCACTTCCTTTTAGCAAATGATCCATCTTGGCTTCCTTCTGTGTGTATCTCTTTGAAACAAATAATAACCACTCCCCACCTTTGTCCACCAAAAACTCCAAGAGTTAACACTCCTCTCGTACCTGTGATGTGCTGGGTGTGTTTGTACACTGCTACCCCACAACTGTCACACCGGACACAACTGCCTCCCTTCCCACAGGGGAGGCACCTGTCCAGGCTGGAGAGCTGGCTGAGATGCTGAGCATCCAGCTCCTACCCAGCCAGTCCCCCAGTGACAGCGCTGAGCTAAGTTAAAACAGGAAGCCAGGAACGTATCAGAGCTGCATCTGGAGCCAGAACAGGCATCAAACCCAGCCATCTTCAGTTATTTTTGTTTGCTTTATGTAGTAGGAACTTTTTTTTTTCAAAACTCTCCATTTACATGAATTTTGTATATTTTTGCACCACAATCTTTTGAGATTATTCCACGAAGTTCCCTCCTGTGTCAAGAGTAAGTAAAAAATGCTAAATATATGGAACTGAATTGACAAATTCTGCCACAAAGGGAAAAAAGTTTAAAAGATTATTTCACTCATTATAAGCATCTCAGGAGCATGCGAGAGCAGAATCAGAAGAGCTCTAAGTCCCAGAATGAACTTGTCCTCCCCCCCAACTTTCCCCCGCAGTTACTGGGTGGCCAATCAGGGTTGCTGTTGGCAGGACAGGAGGACAGGAGAACACCAAATCCTTAAAAGAATAATCTTCCAATTCTAGAATTCTAAAAAAAAAAAAAAGTCCCCACAATTCTTATAGAGAATAGAATATTCAGATAATCATTACTTTTAAAATTTAATCCAGTAAATATAGTACACTGGCACATAAAAGCAGAGAGAGCAAAATAGAATGACAACAAGTGCAGAGCTGAACCAACACCTCTCAGCCAAGAGTAGCATTCACTCTAACACCCATCCTACAATATTAAATCAACAGGGATTTATAACATGGGGAGACGAAACAGTTACACTCAAAATCATGTTCACTCTGTAGTTTAAGTTCATGAACCTAGGGAATTATGTTTAAATGGATCTGACCGTCTGTGAGGTATGTGCACAACTGTATCCTGCATGTGACTTACTGAACTGTCCTGGGAAACAATTTACATTACTCTGGTGAGCCACAAAGCTAGATTCTGAAGTCTCCTTCCATCTGAAGAAATATATGCAGTCACATAATTGCCGGCTTCACACTTTTGGTCAAGATAAAATGCTGACCAAGCTGAGTCATAAGTTTGTTGGATTTTAAAAGAATAATCTTCAACATATTGAAAGCTCAGAATCGGTCAGAGTAAGAAGAACCTCATAGGGGAAAGCATATATTATGTATAATAAATTTCACTCTTAATAGACATACACGGGCACAAATGCCAAGGGAATTACTTACTAGGCAGTTAGACATTCTTTCAGTGCAGAATTTTCTTTCCGACACTTCACTACCATAAGGAGTCCAGATTCCTTGCAACATTTGGTAAAATCTGAAATTAAAAGATGTAGTCACATTAACATAATCTTAACAGCTCTAAAATATTTAACATCTAGGTTACACTTGGCACACAGGATGTCATCCACACGATACAAACAAATGAAGCTTGTGAGGAGGGAGAGAACCTCAGACTGAGTGTGGAAACTTCAGAGACAGGATGCAGGGTTTGAGTAGGCTTTCTAGTGCAAAGTGTATTGCAGAAGAAATAAACAGGGTCAAAGGGTACCCTCACGGCATCCTTCCCAGCTCTGCCCACCTTCACTGTACATGGCAAAGCCAGGGGATCCTTCCATGATTAAATCAAAACATTCTCCTAGTGCCATCCTTCCATGGTGCCTTATTCTCTGATCAAAATACCTAGCTATCCCCACTTGCTAATTTTTCTACTTAAAGCACCACATTAAGATTGACCAAAGCAAAAATTACAGTTTCCTATGAAAACATGGACAGTCCTCAAAGGGAGTACATCTGTTAAGTTAATCCAGGGTTTCCTAAAGCTGGATAAAGACTCTCCAAGTTCAACAGTGCTAAGGAATTACTGCTCCACTGTCCCCTCATGACACCTCCACAGAACAGTTATCCAGACAATATGAAAATATGCCAGCTAGACTGAGCCCGGTCTTTTCCTGCAAAACAAATACAGGATAATATCCAGAGTTTACTGATTTTCACAGACCCCATATTTTTTACTGACTTAGAAAAATTTGTAAAAGAATATTTAGGCAATACACTGTGGTATGAATATAAACATTCTTACCAGTGAGACCACGCAAGATAGCACACAGTAAAGGCATGATCTATTTTCACATCTGTCCAAATCTCTTCAGGATTAACTGCCTGGCAAGCAACCTCAAACTGTTTATAAGGCTTTTGTCAATTGTTTAGCAACAACATGTTAATGAGGCCTTTCGTTTACCCTACAATAGCAAACATTCATATGATAGTTTTTAGTTTTCTATAAAAATATTCTAAAAGAAAACCCTCATGAACTACTTCCATCTTTTTAAAATTCATAACATATAATATTAAACTATACAAATGAAAATTATAACCATAAAACTATTTGCTTATATAAATTAGATAATTAAAAGCAGTTTATTGGGCCCAGCATGATGGCTCAATTGACTAATTATCCACCTTGAATCTGCTGGAATCCCACTTGGGTGCAGGCTTGTATCTTGGCCTCTCCATTTCCCAACCAGTGTCTTGCTTGTAGCCTGGTAAAACAGAGAAGATGGTCCAACATCTTGCGACCCTGCACCCATGGGAGAGACCCAGAAGAAGCTCCTGGCTCCTGCTCCGATCAGCTGCAGCCATTTGGGGAGTGAGCCAGAGGATGGAAGATCTTTTTGTTGTTCTCTATAAATCTGCCTTTCCAATAAAAATAAACATTTTTAAAATAAAAGATTGTATATTTTTTATCAGTTACTGAATCATAAGTTTCAAAATATAGAGCTGACGGGGCCCGGCGCAGTGGCGCAAGTGGTTAAAGGTCCTCGCCTTGCACGCCCGGGATCCCATATGGGCGCTGGTTCTAATCCCGGCAGCCCCGCTTCCCTTCCAGCTCCCTGCCTGTGGCCTGGGAAAGCAGTCGAGGACGGCCCAAAGCTTTGGGAACCTGCACCCGCGTGGGAGACCCGGAAGAGGCTCCTGGCTTCGGATCCTCAGCATAGTATCGGCCATTGCGCTCACTTGGGGAGTGAATCATCGGACGGAAGATCTTCCTCTCTGTCTCTCCTCTCTGTATATCCGCCTTTCCAATGAAAAAATAATAAAAATAAATCTTTAAAAAAATATATAGAGAGAGCTGATGACATAATGAAAAGATCTCCCTTCATATACAGGCATTCTGCAGTTTGATATCTGTAATGTAAATTAAAATACAACACCAAATTTCGTCAAGCAAAGCTATGTTTCATGTGAAGGCTTCTGCAGTGAACTGTCTAATGCCAAGTCCCTGCAGACAGTGCCTGAGTGCTGTGCCACTCTGAGTAATCGTCATCCCTTCTGGAAGCTGTGAAAAAGCTCCTGGTGACAGCAGACCAGCCTCCCTCGCCAGCTTCCCAGGCTGCGGGGAAGGCCTGGCCCAGGCACACACAAGGAAGGCAGCATTTTCCGCTCTCCTTTCACTGTTCAGCAGAAGGAAACCACAGCTGTGGAGCTCATCATCCTGGAAAAGCCGCAGACAGCACTGAATCACATGAAAGATTTGGAGGGCAGACACTATGTACGTTTGCTTGTAAATTTTGGTGACAAAATTAGATCCTTGCAACTTCTTTATCAATGATCCTAGTAATCTGACTTTAGGAAAGAATCTAGTCTAACTTAGAGTTGGTGGAAGATCTCTTTCTCTCCATTTCTTCTTATGTCTCTGCCTTTCAAATAGATGGAAAGGAATATTAAATAAAATTTAAAAAGCTTACACTGCTGCAGTTTAGCATCCCTTCCCTTAGAAAACAATATCCATGAAAATAATAACTCCTTCAAATACAATGAAAGAATTGTTTCATCCAGTTCAAATATAAAAAATAACGATGTAGGTTGGCTTTCTTAATACATTCTCATTGTATGAAATCACTAATAGAGCTGGGTAGCCTAGCAGTTAACAGGATGAGGATGGCGGGGATGCCTGGGTACCCTCTCAGAATGAGTGCGGTCAAACGGGTGGGGACCTGGCACCCCTATAGGAGACCTTGACTGCATTCTGAGCTCCTGGACTCAGCATGGCCCAACTCAGGTTGTGTGGACATTCGGGGAATAAGTCACGAGACTGAAGCACACTCTCTCTCCTGCTTTCAAATAAATGGGGAACAAAAATTTAAGACAGCAATTCATCGCTATTCTTGCTCTCATCCGTTTTCATTTGAAATTTAAAAACATCTTCATGTCAGTGACTTCTGCCATATCTTGTATCTAATAGTCACAACAACCACCAAAATGAAAATATATGCCACTAAATACTATGCAGCCATCAAAACAAAACCCAGCACATTAACAGAATGATTCCCCAGACTGAAAGTGAAAATAGCCAAGCACCGGAGACTGCACACAGAACGCTCTCATTTCTGTCTAGAATACAAGCAGCAGGTTTGTTGTCCACAGGCGCACTCCTGTGCGGTGTGTGTGCCCCGACAAGCACAAAGTGCCTGTGGCAGAAGAAAATTCCAGTGCTGCGCTTAGCTCGAGGAGAACCGAGAGTCTGGAACAAGGACTGAAGAAGCATATTTGCATTTGACACTCTATGCACTTAAAAAAAAAATGTCCTTTTTGGTGCCAGAGAAGGAAGAGTGCAGAGCAGCTAAGAGAAGCCTTGACGAGCCCAGTGAAAGAGGCCGCTCTTAATTTTTTTCTTTTCTTATTTCTTTCCCCTTTTTTTCCTGAAATGCTGTATACTAACAATTGACTGGGGGACCCCTCAGTGTATTTAAGAATTCTCAAACATCACACTCTATAAAGATGCTTTTGCGTGTCTAGTTTAATTTCATTAGATGCTAACTGTTCTCAAATGAAGGAATTGGGCATTCCTTTTCACACGATACATCCGATTCCCATTCAGCATCAAGCGGAGAGCGCTCTGCCCAGGTAAAATGACACTATCCAGAGTCGCACTCCTGGCTTTCTTTTAATTTAACACGGTCATACCAACTGCCAAAACAGGAGAGATCTGCTAACAACAATATGTGCTACCTTGCTAGCACATAGCTCCTACTCCTCCGTTTCAAATAGAAAAAAAAAAGGAGATAAAAGACATGAAATGTTAAATTTAATTAGACATCTAATAAGTAGAATATCCCTAGTTAACAAGACAAATCGATCCTTTCAGTTCTGGCTGCAGTTTATTTAAAGACTTTACAATTTTACTACTTAAGAGCCAGTCCTATGGAGGTGTTATCTCACCATTTATATTTTCACAACACTTATGATATTGCTATCACACTCTTAAAATAAATGAAAAGTCCATGTCACATTTCAGACCAATAGAAATGCTAAAGATTATTTTTATTTCTGGCAATAAACATCAGAATAATTCTCTATTGCTCACTTCCTTCTTACGTTGTAGCACACAAAAGAAAGTAAAACTAAGATTCTGTTTATGTTCCAAGTATACATGGAGAGGTTTGATCACTTTAAAATTAGACACTAGAAAATACGTAATAAAATGCTGACAGTAACAGCATCTTATGACAAAATTATTATGCCTTTAGTTTTCTACTAAACTGTAATTTATTAGCTTACTACTATAAGATTAGTCTGTACACAGAACGAATTTAGTGGTGCATTTAATGAGACAAGAAGGTAGAAGGATGAACATGAAAAGATCATTTTATAGTGCAGTGCAAGAGCTATTTGATAATTCTGGCACAGTACAAAACAAAAGCTTCTGTAGATTGATCATGGTTCAGTTGACATCACTGAATATCTAATACCTCCAACTCAATTAATTCTCACCTGATTAAGATCAGACTGATATTCAAACTAAATCATCTCTCCAGTCAAGTAGAAATCAGTATTTCTGATTTTACTTTTAAATTACAATAGAAAATAAAACGCATGCATCTTCAATATGCCTGGAGTAGCTTTTCTATTCTAGCCTGCCATGGCATGGATAACACAGTTGATTGAAGAATTATTCTAATTTGGGCATCAATATGTAGCAAAATCTGATTAATCTGAACACAGAAATGGAATGAAGTAATTAAATATATCTTACATGGGGCAAAAAGAAAATTGACATAAAATAAACTTGGCTTCCTTAAAACAAACCTCACTGTTTATCAGCTCAAGTAGTTAGGAATACAATTTTATTAAAGATTGATTACTCTGAGAGAAGGGGTTCATTTCAGGCACAGCTATTCATGGTGAGCAAGGCACACCCTCTTTCCAGATCATTCTTTTGCTCACACCACTACATCCCAAACGCAGGCACATGCCTGAAGACAACCAAATCATTTCAATATGATTTTTTTTCCTGAGAAAAATGGAACATGGCCC